AGGGATTGCAGCCTTACAGTGCTGATAGAATCGTTCCAGGAGTTGCATGTGACGTCTGTAGACAGTCCACGTTTTGCAGTCATAGAACAGGATTGGGAGGACAATAGCTTTATAAACAAGCACCTTGGTATCCCTACGGATGTCCCATATGGATATGGCCTAAGGGCTAATTCATAACATTTTCTACTACTACTTAAAGTGGTTTGGGATTGGGATCCCTCCCCAACTCATTATTTCCTACATTGGACAACACAAAAATCAGTCAGTGAAAGATAGTGTAGTTGGACACTTTGCTCTCGCCCTAGCAGCCAACTTGTGTTCTTACTGAGAATATATAAACTGAAAGGATTGAGAGAAGATTGAATTCTCTGCCACATCTTAAGATACTCTGAATCCATTTTCCCGTTTTCTCTGTTTTGACAGAAATGTCCAGAATATAGTCATTCCCATCTCCCCACGCTTGTCTCAACACAGTATCGAGTAAAGGGAATACAAAACAGACTGACTGAATTGTCATCAGCGCTGTCATCCTATTTTAGTTCCACTTTTGTTTGTTTTTATGGCATCCAAAACATTGAGTCAACACAAGGCATGCACATGAGTTGACTGCCGAAAGGAACTTTTTTAAAAATAGAAAAAGAAGTTGCTAGCTTGGCTCTTCTCCAAAGGCTGATAGATTTGCCTCTGCAACAATTTGAGCGCTTGCCAAGCCTGGAGGCATGAACCCTTGGAGCTCATTTCTGAACTCAGCTATTGTTTGGCTGCTATTAGACTTTCCCAGCTGCTCGCTTCTAGAACAAGTACACGGAAAGATGCCTCCCGCAGAATGCAAAGGCTCGGAAAGAAGTAAAAGTGTGCGTGCCTGGGTGGGTGGGCAAAGTGTGAAGACAGCCTCCACCTTAATAGTAAAGGTTACACATCAGATTAAAAGAAAGCAAAGAGGTAGTCTTCACCTCCTAGCATTGTAACCTGTCAGGTTTGTTTCACATGTCAGAACTACTGGTTTTTATCAAATATGGCAGAATGATTTGGCTTTGTAATCTCTCTCTTGCTGAAGTGTCTACCTTTTGATTCGAAAGACTAAAATAGTGGAATGGAGTTCATAATGCGTGCAGCCCTTTTCTCTTTTTATTTCCTCCTTTGCAATAATACTTCTCAAAATGATAGCCCATGGACTAGTGATGCCCTCAAATCATCTACCCCCAGGGAGATTCTAGGAAAGGAAAAAAAAAACAGTTGGAACAGTGGGCATCAATGTGATCCTAGTTTATGGAAGTTTGGTTGGAGGGAATTGCCAGTCCCATATCATATATCTTAAGAAGCACTGACTTACTAAACATCATAATTACTATTATCAATGCATACACATTAATCATCCTTTCTATCTATGAGTGGCGGTTCTCCATGCAGTTACATGTAGAGTGAGGCCATGCTACAGGTCGCACTCTCAAGGCTGCACAGCTCTTCATGCCCTTATATCATGCCTGCAGGAGAAACCCTGTAGGAGATGGGATGATATAGGCACACTATCTCCAGGGAATGGCTGGGAGTATCCCCAAGCACAATACCCCCAGGAAAAGGCTGGTATAATGGTTTGAGCACTGAACTTCAACACCAGAGAACAGGATTTCATTCCTTACTCAACCAAGGAAGCGCACTAGGTGACCCTGGGTGAGTCACACACTCCCAACCCTAGAAAACCCCATGATAGATTCACTCTAGGGCAGCATTTCTCAACCTGGGGGTCAGGACCCCGGGGGGGGGGTCACGAGGGGGTGTCAGAGAGATCAATGAAAACCATCAGAAAACACAGTATTTTCCGTTGGTCATGTGGGTCCAGTGTGGGAAATTTGGTCCAATTCTATTGTTGGTGGGGTTCAGAATGCTCATTGATTGTAGGTGAACTATAAATCCCAGCAACTACAACTCCCAAATGTCAAGGTCTATTTTCCCCAAACCCTGCCAGTGTTCACATTTGGGCATATTGAGTATTTGTTCCAGTTTGGTCCAGACCCATCATTGTTTGATTCCCCAGTGCTCTCTGGATGTAGGTGAACTACAACTCCCAAACTTAAGCTCAGTGCCCACCAAATCCTTCCAGTATTTTCTGTTGGTCACGGGAGTTCTGTGTGCCAAGATTGGTTCAGTTTCATCATTGGTGGAGTTGAGAATGCTCTTTGATTGTAGGTGAACTATAAATCTCAGCAACTACAACTCTCCAATGACAAAACCGATCCCTCCCCCCAACCCCACCAGTATTCAAATTTGGGCTTATTGGGTATTTGTGCCAAATTTGGTCCAGTGAATGAAAATACATCCTACATATCAGATATTTACATTACGATTCATAACAAGAGCAGAATGACTGTTCTGAAGTAGCAACAAAAATAATCTTATGGTTGGGGTCACCATAGCATGAGGAACAGTATTAAGGGGTCGTGGCATTAGGAAGGTTGAGAACCACTGCTTTAGGGTCACCCTAAAATGCATTCAACACTTTAGGTATAGTTAAAACCAAATAAATATAATGTGAAGCCATTATCTATCCAGTTGCCACAATGTGCTTCATGGACTGGGTTTTCTTGGGCAAGGGGTAGTTTTGCCAGTCCATGGTGCATAATACATGCAGTCCTGAAATTACAAACAAGATAGGTTCTATAGGTTTGTTCTTAAGCTGAATTTGTTTATAAGTCAGAACAGGAATATTTTTAAGTGTAACTTCAGCCATCCATTTATCTATCTATCGATCTTTCTGTTTCTCTCTCTCTCTCTCTCTATATATATATATATAGAGAGAGAGAGAGGGAGAGGGAGAGGGAGATGCATGCATGCTGTGGATAGCGTAGATAAGGGTGAATACCCCCGTAGTACTCATTTTGCAGTCTGTGCCTCTGTTCAGAAGATTTCACCTCAGTTTCTGTCCCTTCAATAATTGGATTTTGGAAAATTTGGTTTGTTGTGAAAACAAGGATTGGTGATAAAGCTTCATTGAAGACACCTTTTCCCCATGATAACTCTTCCAAAAGTGCATTTCCCTTCCACGGAGTAGATTTTTCCCACTTCCTGTTGTCTCACCCCCATTCTTAACTATTATTGTAAGTTGGATGTTTGTGACTCAGGGACTGCCTCTATATCTGCTTCCATAAAGGATTTAATTATCAGAGTTCAAGTGGTATCTATATGAAGAAGTGAGAAAGTGCAGGCCTACAAAGGGTAAATGTAGAGGCTTAGAGAGTCAGTCTTCGGCAGACGACTCCCTTTGTGCTGGTTGAAAATGATAAGAAGACATGCTGAGAATTCAGACACATGCATAATGAAATTATATTATGTAGGGCATGAGTTGAAGAGGTGAGTTTGCTTGCTTATGAACTGAAAAGTGTTTCAATACTCTAAGAGCAGGCTGGTTCCTTTCTCTGTCTTGTTTACATGTCAGTGGGTGTGTAGCATAAAAATGTTAGGCTACGAGAATGATTTGTTTGGGCATATGTACTCTTGCATGAATTTTGTGATTTGAGTAGAAATGTGAGCCAGAAGGATTTCAGTTTCAGCCTTTTTGTTTCTGTTTCGGGTATTTGCATCTGTTTTAGAATGAATAAAGGGTGATCCCATTCTATTTTAATACGTTCTGAATCAGATGCACAGAGGTGCAAATGGGAATTTGGAGTGTTGCTTGTTTTTGGTGTGCAACAAAGCAGCTTTGATGACTTTCCCAGGCAATCAATCCACACACACACACAAACACCAAGCATTCTATATATTCTAGATCAGCGTTTCTCAACCTGGGGGTCGGGACCCTGGGGGGGTCGCGAGGGAGTGTCAGAGGGGTCGCCAAAGACCATCTGAAAACACAGTATTGTGTGTTGGTCATAGGGGTTCTATGTGGGAAGTTTGGCCCAATTCTATCATTGGTGGAGTTCAGAATGCTCTTTGATTGTAGGTGAACTATATCGGTCATGGGAGTTCTGTGTGTCAAGACTGACGTTATGCAGTAATTGCTTGTTCACACAAAGTTGGTAACTGTTTAGCAGTTATAACCAGCAGTCAGATATATATGTTTTCGAGGGTAGTGAAGATATGTGTGTGTGTATGTGTGTGTGTCTATATATATATATATATATATATATATATAGAGAGAGAGAGAGAGAGAGAGAGAGAGAACGTATATTGTGTAAGCTCCTGCTGTCAGCCTCACACCATATATGTGCTATATATATAGCACATATATATATAGCACAAAGTTGATGATTGTTGAGCAGTTGTAACTGGTAGTCAGATATATATTTTTCGAAGGGTAGTGAGGATATATATATATATATATATATCTCCTCACTACCCTTCAAAAAATATATATCTGACTACCGGTTACAACTGCTCAACAATCATCAACTTTGTGTATACAAGCAAACACTGTATAACACTTCAAGCATTGGACAAGGCCTCTGGAGACCAGAGTCCAAATCCCCACTCAGCCGTGGAAATCCATTGGGTGACTTTTGGGCATATCACACTCTCAGCCTCAGAGGACCTGCTGTCAGCTCCAGCTTCTGCCAACTAGCAGTTTGAAAACATGCAAATGTGAGTAGATCACTAGGTACCGCTCCAGCGGGAAGGTAATGGCGCTCTATGTAGTCATGCCGGCCACATGACCTTGGAGGTGTCTACAGACAACRCCAGCTCTTTGGCTTAGAAATGGAGATGAGCACCAACCTCCAGAGTCGGACACGACTAGACTTAATGTCAGGGGAAAACCTTTACCTTTACCTATCTTGTCTGTAGATAGCAATATGTAACACGATTTCCACTGAAGCTAATTATAAAGAGCTCAGGAAAAGGGACTGGGCTGTTGGGGATGCAGGACTGGATGTCTCCTTAGTATTTATTTTCCTTGTAGCAGAAGAAAGAAGCGGTCACTAAACAGTGTTAACGGAAGATTCCTAACTGTGATCTTTAGCTTGCAAATAAATGCTTGCTTCTAAGACTGAACTGTGCTGTCATTGTAGGAAGCAGTGCAAGTATTGATCAAGCATTCAGCTGATGTCAACGCGCGGGACAAGAACTGGCAGACGCCCCTCCACGTCGCAGCTGCAAATAAAGCCGTGAAGTGTGCCGAAGTGATCATCCCTCTCCTGAGCAGCGTCAACGTCTCTGATAGGGGTGGTCGAACCGCGTTGCACCACGCAGCCCTCAATGGCCACGTTGAAGTGAGTGGCTAAAGCATTTCTCTGTTCTGACTTGGAACCATTTGGGGAAAGTGGGCAATTCTTGATATTAGCATCAAGCTATGCCAGTGTTTCCTATTGCAGACACCCAGAGGTGGCCCTAGGTAATTTTCAACGGTAAGCAAACAGTATTTTGGCGCACCCCCCCCCTCTCCAACCAATCACGGATATATATATTCTGTTCATCGTGGGAGTTCTGTGTGCCATATTTGGTTCAATTCCATCATTGGTGGAGTTCAGAATGCTCTTTGAATGTAGGTGAACTATACATCTCAGTAACTACAACTTGCATATAGCAAGGTCTATATTCCCCCAAGAGCGCCTCAAGAGTGCCCCTGGGCAAAATCAACTATACTGCAAATGCTTACTTTGCATAATGGGTTGGACCGCCCCTGCAGACACCATAGAGTGGAATAGGAGGAATCTCATTGTTGCATAAGATATCCAGATATCTCTCTAATTGAACCGGAGCAAACTGTGATACTTTTGACAAAAAACTTAAAACTGTGTATATTTCACCTTCTTTCTTAAAAGTTCTGCATAATTACCAGATTTGTCTTTGCAACCTGTTGTCTTCCGAATGAGTTGGACTACAACTCCCATTGATCCCACCAACATAACGAACACACTGGCTGGGAATGGTGGACAGCATAGTGCACATAGTCTTAATTAAGGCCATTGCAGAATATGCCTGAAGTTTAAGGCTGGATCTACACTGCCATATAAAATCCAGATTATCTGCTTTGAACTGGATTATATGGCAATGTAGGTTCATATAATCTAGTTCAAATCAGATAGTCTGGATTATCTGCTTTGATGATCTGGATCATATGGTAATGTAGATCCAGTCTAAGATTACCCCATAAAATGTGGTAATTAGGGGTGGAGGACTACTAAACTCCTAAAAATCACTATTTTTTACCCGAGTGAACGCCTCTTTAGGGCCCCTTCTACACTGCTATAAAATCCACATTATCAAAGCGGACAATCCACATTATTTGCTTAGAATTGGATTATATGAGTCTACACTGCCAGATAATCCAGTTCAAAGCAGATAATTTGGATTTTATATGGCAGTGTAGAAAGGGCCTATGTTCTCCAATGTGATTTTCTTCCAGGAGGGATGAAGAAACAGCCTAGAGAGAACATTTTAAGCTAATCTGCAAATAATAAAATTCCACAAAAAAATGAATATGTAAATGTGGAAAGCCAACAATTATCATAGGTTGGAATCACGTGGTCTTCCAGATCTTGACTTGCAAGTTTAGCCAATAGTGAGGAACGCTAGGAGATGTAGTCCCACATTAGTAGCACTGCATGTTTCCTACTCCAATATGCACATCCATCAGAGAGGAATTTCACTTGGGTACTGCTTTGTGATTAACTATTCAGTAAACCTCTTATTAAGCATAAGAAAAATCAATCTTTCTTTGTTGTGAATGTAACATGAATTGTAGAAGGCACCTTGGGCTAAGAAGCGAGTATTGGAAAGCCAATAAATCTCAGGAAAGTGAAAAGATGGTTGAGGGACTTGGATTAATGATTTATGTCATATTTTCTAATACATTTTCTCCAGGCTTCAGATTAATTTAAAAACAATGTCCACAGATTTCTGCTAGAATTCTGGATCAGGCCTTTATGTGCTGGCTGTATCTATAAATACGATATGATCTCAAATCCAACTTCTTATCCTTATGACAGTGATCTGTAGTGAAAGAATGAAATATGACATTCCCAGCAGTGATAGAAAGAGTGGGAAAAGACTGCCAAAAAGATATTTCAGGGAATAATAGAAACCCACCCTTAAGGCAGCGATAATAATCCAAACTTTTATTAGTCTGTGCTTCAGAGTGGTGTTCCAATTACTGTATATATTCGAGTATAAGCCTAGTTTTTCAGCACCTTTTTTAGGATGCAAAAGCTCCCCTCGGCTTATACTTGAGTCAAGGTTATTTATTCTTTTTCTCTGTTATTAGTATTATTTTATTACATTTATTATTTTACTCTATTATTATTATATTTACATTATTTTGTTCTATTAGAGGTAAAGATTGTCCCCTGACATTAAGTCCAGTCATGTCTGACTCTGGGGTGTGGTGCTCATCTCCATTTYTAAGCCGAAAAGCCGGCGTTATCCATAGACACCTCCAAGGTCATGTGGCCGGCATGACTGCATGGAACGCCGTTACTCTATTGCTCTATTATTCTATTTATTATTTTTCTCTATTATTATTATTATTATTATTATTATTATTAYWWTTAYWRYATTTTACCCTAKTATTATTAYYMTTATTATTATTATTATTATTACATTTATTATTTTAATCTATTTATTATTATTATTATTATTATTATTATTATTAATATTATTATTATTACATTTACAGTATTTTACCCTATTATTACTACATGTATTATTTTACTCTATTATTACTGTTTTTATTGCATTTTCATTATTTCACTCTATTATTTTTATTAKATTTATTATTTTAATAATAAGTACATTTACATTGAAGAAGATTAGCATGATGGTTTAATAAGAGTTGGACAGTCTTATCTTAAATTAGAGTTTTATGTAAATATTCACAAACATTTAGCCTATTGATGCCTCAATTAATGTAATTTTATTGGTATCTATTTTTATTTTGAAATTGACCCATAGTGGATGCATTTCCCACCCTTGGCTTATACTTGAGTCAATACGTTTTCCCAGTTTTTTGTGATAAAATTAGATGCCTYGGCTTATATTCAGGTCGGCTTATACTCGAGTATATACAGTATGTATATTTAATCTGGAATGTTAAAGAGTCATGCAAGCCAAAATCATAGAAATGTTCCCTGCCTGGAACATGCAATATAATATAATATTTACTGAATGAGATTTGTTGGGCTCCTTTTGCAGACTTAAGACAAAATATTATATTCCTGTTAATTGTATTTATTTATTTATTTACTAAATTTATATACCGCCCCTCTCAGCCCACAGGCGACTCAAATGATTCCCCGTGACAAGCTTTCTAGGAGTAGAGAGCAAAGATTATGTCTCTAAAAAGACAACTCTTGCTCTCAGAAGAGGAGGATGTACACAGGATTTCTTTATTTTCTTCAGCACACTTGAATTTCCCTGGAGGGCAATGAGAACAGCTTACCTCTTTATCTTGCTGATGGCCAATTATTGAAGTGTTGAAGTTTGCCCAACTGGGAATTTTTTTCAGATACGCCAAAACCAAAGCTGTGTGTTTTCCCTGTTTCCCTCATCCGACTGCTATAATCTCCCTTTCCAGTGAAGAAAAAAGTAAATGCTTTGTGGAGTGATGATTATTTTATAGGCAGTGCTTCTTTACCTCACCTCTAGCTCCCCCAAAATAATTGTTATACTTGAGCTACACAACCGTGGTGGCGCAATGAGTTAAACACTTGTGCCGGCTGAACTGCTGACCTGAAGACCTGAAAGTCGGCAGTTCAAATCCATGAGACAGGGTGAGCTCCAGTCGGTCAGCTCCAGCTTCTCATGTGGGGACATGAGAGAAGCCTCCCAAAGGATGGTCAGCTCCAGCTTCTCATGTGGGGTCATGAGAGAAGCCTCCCAAAGTATGGTAACACATCCGGGCATCCCCTGCACAATGTCTTTGCAGACTGCCGATTCTTTCACACCAGAAGCGACTTTCAGTGTATTCTCAATTTGCTTCTGACATAAAAAAAGCTACACTTCTTATTTCTAAGCCACTTGTAGCTTAATTGGTAGTGCTTTGGTTGTATTTGCTATTACCGCTGTAACTGCTGACTGCTTGATTGTTTTATACTGTTTTATATTGTTTTGTACTGTTTTATACTGTTATTTTTATACTACTGTTAAATTGTATATTTATGTTTTTCTGATGTGGGCGCCATGGGGTGCTGATTTGTTAGCAGTCCTGGGTCCCTCTAAATAAATAAATAAATACTGGAAATATATAATTATATTTATCATTAGTGACAAATCACTTTAAGAACTGCACCACATTCCACAATCCCTTAAAAAAATCCAAGTGTTAGTTTGTAAGTGCCTCTATGATTGAGCCACCTGTTCACACCAGCATGACCATCACCCTTCCTCCAACAATTAACTTTCTTTTCCCCGCTGTTTTGTGTGTTGCTTGCTTGTTTTAGATGGTGAACATGCTTTTGGTGAAAGGGGCAAACATCAATGCCTTCGACAAAAAAGACCGAAGAGCTTTGCACTGGGCAGCATATATGGGTGAGAGTTTCCTTCTTTTTTTCCTTCCCTCTCAAGGGCAGAATGCTCACAACATGGTTTGCAGTCTAGGGTAGGCATTCTTCTACGTTCATATAGGAAAACATATGTTTACAACTACAAACTGTTGAAGTTTCCAAAAATGAAGTAAACCTGGGTAATCCAATTCAGTGTATTTTTCTTATTTGTTTGTTTTTTATTTTTATTAATAATTTTATTACATTTCCACTCCATTTCATTATAAAATATAATCTGTAATTCATATATTTATTTCTTCTCATTTCCCCCATTGTGATCCCCATTGTGTTCACCATCTCTGGAATCCTTTCTTTGTAGTCCCACCAAAACTTCATTTCTTCTGGTGAGGGTTGCTTCCCATCTTCTTTTCTCAGTGTTTCTTCCAATAATTCTTTTCCATATGCTTTCAAAATCATTATTTTTCTTTAGGCCTTCTTTTACCTTAAAATGAAATGTTCATTTATTTATTTATTGCATTTATATACCGCTTTTCTTACCCCTGGGGTGGGGGGACGGGGACGGGACTCAAAGCGGTTCATATCAAATCAATGGCAAATATTCAAAGCCTCATATATAATAAAAACAATACATCACACATCTAAAGTAATAACATATAACTATAAATTACACCATTAAAGCTATAAAACATCAAACATGAACATGAAAACATGTTGACATTACACCAATCCTGAAGTTGTCATCCATCTGCTACGCTATTATAGTCACTCACCGAATGCTTGTTTGCATAACCAAGTTTTTAGATATTTTCTAAACACCAGGAGGGAGCCACTCTAATCTCACTGGGGAGGGAGTTCCACAGCTGAGGGGCCACCACTGAGAAGGCCCTGTCTGTCATGCCCAGCAATTGTACCTGTGACGGTGGCGGGACTGAGAGCAGGATCTCCTCAGCTGATCTTAACACTCTAATCATTTATTGCTAATTTCCATATTTCCTTATACCATTCTTCTATCTTAATTTCTACCCCTCCTTTCCAATTTTTAGCCTTGCTGCCGTTAACAACATCGTTACCAAATTATTTTCATTTTCTTTCCAGTAATCTGAATTATATAAAGATAACAATATGGTCACTGGATTTCTGTTAATTTTTTTCTTCATAATGCTTTCTATCTCTATTATAACTTTTCCCCAGAACCTCTGTACATATTTACTTTGCCACCACATGTGAATATACATTCCGATTTTTGGCAACCTCTCCCAACACTTTTTCAAACATCTCTTATCCATATTATGTATTTTTATCAGGGTCAAGTACCAATTCCATATCATCTTGTATTTTCTTTCATTCTGATTCATAAATTCTTGAGATGTCTTGCTCTCCATGATCTTTCCTAATTTATTTCTCATTTTTTGTTCATGAGTTTCATCAGTTTAATGCATGTAAAGAAGAGTCAGGGCATGCTCCAGATTTTATATTACGGCCTCATCAGACAGGCAGAATTGCCCGTCATATGATGCTCTTTCTTCACTTGTGACACGAAGCCCGCCGGCTCTCATTCCACAACATCGATGACACAAGTGAAGAAGAAGCACCGTACGTTGCCGTGGCACCAACATGGGAGGCTTCCCATGCAATTGGGTAAAGGGGAAGCTGAGTGGGCCCCATTGGATTTGCCACAATGCATGGCAAACCCCACCATTAATGTGATGAGCTCCTTAAACTCCAGAGCAACCCTGCAGGTTCAGCATAGTGTGGATTGCGGGATCGGGTATGATTCAAACATTTCCACTGTCCACATGGGCCACCACTGCCATCCTCTTTATCAGTGTAAAGGAAAGAGAATGGATTGACTCCATCTGTATAAATAAAAATGTAATATTCCTTTGTGGGATTAACATAACTCAAAAACAACTGGGTGAATTAATACCAAATTTGGACACAATACATGCATAAGGCCAATGAGTGACCATCACTCATAAAAACACTGAAAAACACAGCAGAAAAGATTTAAAAAGCCAAAACAAATTGCATTACAATGCATGCGCAAAACCACATATATAAACATATACACAAATATATACACATTTATTTATTTATTTACAGAATTTATATTCCGCCCTTCTGCACGGCAGATTACAATGTTCATATACTTGGCAAACATTCCGTGCCATTGACACACAACATATATAGATGGACACACAGAGGCTATGTAACATTCCAGCTGTCATTAGGGTATTCTGGCCACTAAGGGAGCTGTCGCTTCACTGTCCATTTGTGACACTGATGAAGTACTTCCTCATTCTTTGTATGCTTGCTGGAGATTTTTATGGTGACGTAAATTAGTTACATTAGCCTCCCCACATTCGCGGTACCTAAATTTCTTACTTGACAGATGCAACTGTCTTTTGGACTGCAAAGCTACACAAATTGGTCGGAAGCTCACTCCAATCTGGGTTCAAATTCATGACCTTTCAGTCAGTAGTGATCTTAATGCAGCTGACTCCCAGCCAGCTGCACCACAGTCCCAGTGCACAAATATATAAACAACACACATCTACACACACACACATATATACACACACACATATACATACACACATATACACACACAAAACACATATACACAGCCACAGCAACGCATGGCAGGGGACAGCGAGTATTGCCACTACTGCTATTCCCAGACTCTTGTAGAGCATTGTGAGATCTTCTAAGCATTGTAGTGACATCAACAGAAGTGCATGCACAACTGGGAAGAAGGAAGCAAATTGTCCTGGTTATGCAGGTACCACTGTTTGTATCAGTACAAGCATTGCAATAACTAAGAGCTCTCCCAGAGCTCTGCAGTCATCTGGAAGTGGTGTGACTTGGATGGTAAAGTGATGGTCAGCTGGGCTAATGTGGTTTGGGTCTGTCTGGACTGTTTGTGGATTGGGATGGTCTGTGTAATCACCTCTAGTGACAGTGTAGAGCATTTCTTCTCTGGACTGGACTTGGACTAATGGACCAGTGTAGATTAGCCTGAAGAGCTGATGCTCAAGTTCCCACCCACTTCTTTTCCTTTTGGTATTATGTCTTTGCGACTGCAATCCTTGGTTTCTTTTACATTCTAAGCCTGAAAGGAATTGATTTTTGATTAAAAAGTGGAGCAAAAATCATCCAGACAACCCCCTGCCCCCATTATTTCTAGGGCAGAGCTTTCCAGACGTTTCATGTTGGTGACACACTTTTTAGACATGCATAATTTTGAGAGGCAGTAATTCAATTTTAATAGCAAACTGGAAGTTCAAACAACATCTTATGAGATACACACACACACAACTTGTAATAACAACAAAATGTATGGGGTCACGATGTATCTCATGAAAATCCTTCTCTCTCTCACACACACACACAACTTACTGCTTATTTCACATAGACTCAGACTCAGAGGTTTCTTGTTGTGTTCATGCACCACACCTACACACTGCAGCCATGACATACATTTTGGAAAGCTCTGCTCTAGGGCATTCCAGAGAAAAGTCACCCCATATTTTTGAAAATGCATAATAACAACAACAACAATTATTATTATTATTATTATTATTATTATTATTATCATTATCATTATCATTATCATCATCAAAGTATGGATTGTTTATATTGCAATCACTGGTGACAGCAGGATTGAAGAGAAACAACTGGAAAAGCTGACACGATATGAGGATTTACAAATCAAACTGCAAAAACTCTGGCACAAGCCAGTCAAGGTGGTCCCAGTGATGATCGGCACACTGGGTGCAGTGCCTAAAGACCTTGGCCTGCACTTAAACAAAATCAGCACTGACAAAAGTACCGTCTGCCAGCTGCAGAAGGCCACCTTACTGGGATCTGCACGCATTATTCGCCGATACATCACACAATCCTAGACACTTGGGAAGTGTCCGATGTGTGATCCACTACAACAGCCAGCAGAGTGTCTACTGTGGACTCATCTTGTTGTGTTTCAAATAATAATAATAATAATAATAATAATAATAATAATAATAATAATAATAATAATAATAAATCTTGCCTTTCTCTCTTTGATTGAAACACAAAATGGCATTCAATTATTCTGGCAGGATATTAGTGTGCTGAGCTGGGAACAAGGTCAGGGGACGGTTGAACATATACAGATCTGATTCATATCTTTGAAAAGCCTTTTAAAAAATGCTGCTAATTTTAGAATAGTGGTAGACTTGGATGCTGATCAGCTTTTCGCTGCAATTAATAGTAGCATAGTTCTCAAATGAAATCAAAACAAAATTTGCACTTGTGTACTGTGAAACAGAACGAAAGTATCACCAATTCACAGTCCTTTCATATATTTACTTTCCATTTAAGGCAATATGACACCAACTTTATAGTTATTACCTGGATTATTTTGCTGTTTCTCTAGAAATATTTAGTAAAAGAGAAGGTGTTTTGATCAAGGCTTCATGTTTAGAAATCTTTTCGTAAATAGATTTTTGCGTCATGGAAAAAGAAATGGCGAATTAGTGAGATATCTGTGTTCTGTGGTTACATGAGGAGAGACTGAAATTGAAACACAGTTTATTATAACCAGCTGTGTATGTTTTCGAATTTGAATTGCCTTAAAAAAATCAAACAAACCATAGCCAAAAGTAGAATTCAGCGTAATACTACTTATATTACTTTTTTCAAAAATATTCCTAGAAAGACCTGCTTTAATGCTAGATTTGAGTAATTCTTTCCTGTGTGCTTTGCTCCTCTTTTTAAAACCACTTCAGTATTTAGTCATCTCTTAATTCTATTTCAAATTCCTTTAGGCCAGTGCTACATTCCTTCAGGTTTAATCTCCCACTGCAGTATTTCTCTTTTACTTTCATGTTACATTTACGTGCCTTCAAGTTACCTGTCAACTTATGTTGACCTTATTAATTAAATAGGGTTTTCTTGGGCAAGGAACATTGTGGGGTGGATGTCCTCTGAAATAGAGCCTACAACACTGATGATGATGATGATGATGATGATGATGATGATGATGGTGATAATAATGAATTTATTACCCGCCTGTGGATCAAAGTGGGATACAACATCATAAAAACATTATTAAAAGATATACAGCAAAATACATAGAGTTAAAATACAAGTTGGAATCCATTGATAAAGTGCCGATTAAAATTCACAACTTAAATTTTATATTGTACACCTTACTTAGGTAATCCCTCATTGTCTGAGTATGATGGCCTTGCAAGAGTTGTGTCTTGGCTGTGGATACGTAGGTGTCTGTAGAGCCCTATTCTTGGCCTACATGTTCTCCCACAGTGAGGACATTGGTTTCTAGGTGGAAGGCGGTCCCAGTCAGGGTTGGATTGATGCGCCTTCCTCTTGACATGTTTCTCCCTTTCACTCTTCATTTGTGCACCTTCAAATTCCACAGCATTGCTGGTCTCAGCTGACCTCCAGCTAGAGCACTCAAGGGCCAGGTCTTTCAATTCTTGGTGTCTATGCCACCGTTTTTAAGGTTGGCTTTGAGCCCATCTTTAAATCTCTTTTCCTGTCTACCAACATTCCATTTTCCATTCTTGAGTTCGGAGTAGAGCAACTGCTTTGGGAGACGGTGATTGAGCATTTGGACAACGTGGTCAGTCCAGTGGAGTTGATGGTGTAGGAGAATCGCTTCAGTGCTGGTGGGCTTTGCTTCTTCCAGCACGCTGACATTGTCCATCTGTTTTCCCAAGGGATTTGCAGGATATTTCAGAGGCAATGTTGAGGGAATTGTTACAGGAGTTGAGTGTGATGTCTGTAGACAGTCCACGTTTCACAGGCATATAACAGGGTTGGGAGGACAATAGCTTTATAAACAAGCACCTTGGTATCCATACAGATGTCCTGATCCTCAAACACTCTCATTATACACCTACAAAATATGTGAAGGGAGTAAACCATTTGCCTGTGACAAGGTGATGGTGTTGAGGATAGTTTAGCATCCAATTCTCTAACCGTGCTTTTGCCTACCAACATTTGTCCGAGAGACAATTATATCACTCTATCCACCTTTTTATAATACGTATACATTCATTTCATTTTTGGTTCCTCATAAACAGGAGGTGGAAGTTGCATAATTTCATACCATTTGGCGACAGCTAGTGGATAGCCAAGATGAATGCCCAGTGTGCACTAGACCAGAGCTTTAACCTTTTCCACTCATAACTCCTTTCCACCTGAAAAATGTTTACATGCTTCTCAGTATATAGGTATATAAAATAGATATAAAAACACAAACATTTATTGATCAAAATAAGCGTTTTCAAGGCTTGCTAGACAAGCCTTTTTATGAAGTACAGCTGAAGCATTTTCTGCAGAGTCCACTGTAAACACTGCATGTTGTTGCTAACAGATTCATGTAAATGTCTAAAGCAGCCACTCAATGGCCTTCAGGAAGCTTTTACTGTTGCCAATTTTTCCGCATCATTGAGCTAAGGGATCCCTTTTGGGGTTTGAACCCCTGGTTATGAAGCAGCGCACTAGACAACATAACCTTTGTTACTTTTAAAACCATTTGTCTGAAACTTCTCTGCAAAAGTGTGAACCATTTTGAAGTGTAAGAAGACAAGCTGGTGAGAAGGCACTTGTTTAAGAAAAATATCACCACAGGAATATTTAATTAACGCTCTCCTTTTTTTCTTCTCTTCTTTTCTAAGGCCACTTGGACGTTGTTTCCTTGCTGATCAGCCATGGCGCTGAAGTGACATGTAAGGATAAAAAGGGTTACACTCCTCTTCATGCTGCGGCATCCAATGGGCAGATCAATGTAGTGAAACACCTCCTCAATCTTGGCGTGGAGGTAAGAAGCAATTAATATTATCTTTAATAGCCCAGTGAGAACTGAATGCTGTAATTTAATAGGTATAATTCCTCACTACTGGGACTTTCATTCCGCTATGAAATTAAATTTTCAGTGCCTTCTAAAATTTATTCTCTCATTGACAAGGTTTATGAAGAGAACCCATTTTTTGTCGTATGGATTGTGGATTTGCTCGTCCTTCTTGGTCATGACACTAATATACCATAACTGTTGAGACTGACAGGTTTAGGCGTGATTATTTTGACATCCTTTTCCCCATCATGCTTCAAATAACCATGAGAATATAAAATTTCATGCTGTTAAAACCTTGATATAGACTGGTTGTATTTTTTGAAAGTGAGGATGAATGGTAGGCAGACATTTTTTATATTGTGTAAGCAGTTTTTCCTAACCTAGTGCCCTCCAGATGTGTTTCACTACAAGTTACCCTTCATCGGGCAGCACTTCATCATTTTTATAGGTGGCTCAATGGATACCCATTTCAGCTATGCACTAAAAATCTTTTAACATAGACTTTGGAGGCAAGATGAAGAAACCTCTGGTTTCCAAATGTAAACAAAATAAAGTCAAATGATTATCTGATGATTTTGACATTTTATTGAAAAAGAACTAAACGTGATCCAATTTGAGGTCATACAAGAGGTCATACAAGTGTGGAAAGGTCTTGAAAGGTCTTACAATTGGAAACTTCAGTTAAAAAGCTGGTACCCAGCATAAACATTGTTATAAGTGAAATGGTAATAGACAATTTTAAGGAAATGCCATTTACATTTACCGTATATAACAGAGTAGCTGACCAGAATATAAGCCGAGGCACCTAATTTTACCACAAAAAACCGCCTGGAAAAACATATTGACTCAAGTATAAGCCGAAGTTGGGAAATGCAGCATCTACTGGTGAATTTCAAAATAAAAATAGATACCAATAAAATTACATTAATTGAGGCATCAGTAGGTTTTGAATATTGACATAAAGTTGTAATTTAAAATAAAGATGTCCAACTCTGATTAAACCTTTACATCTTCTTCAATGTAAAGGTGCTTATGTATCCTTCCATTAATAATAAAGAGAGTAAAATAATAACTGTAATAAAAAATAATAATAGAGTAAAATAATGGAAATATAATAACAGTAACAATAGCGTAAAATAATAAATGTAATAACAGAATAAAGTAATAAATGTAAAAATAGTAATAAATAGAATAAAATAAAAATGTAAGAAAAATAATAAATAGAGTAAAATAATAAATGTAATAATAATAAATAGAGAACAACAACAAAACAACAACAACAGAGTAAAATAGTAAATAACTTTGACTTCAGTATAAACTGAGAGGGGGCTTTTTTAGCCTAAAAAAGGACTGAAAAACTCAGTTTATACTCGAGTATATGCAATAATCTCTATGGCAATACAAACGACAGAAATTTGAACCCTCCAAAGAATTACATGAATTTCTGAAAGAATGCATTCAAAGAATGCATAATCAAAGATACTTACAAGAAAGCTCAGTTCTGATTGAAGTATCGTTCACTTCTTGTTTGGGAAGTTTTTCTGTTGTCATTCTGTTCTTCATTGTGGAAAAGCAATAAAAGGCAACTCAAAATTAGAAGTATAAGCAGCACAAATAATGTCCTTTTTGGGTATTCCATAGTTTCATTTATAAGTAAATGCATAAATATGAATGTACACATCCCTAAAGGGAAATATCTGTGTTGCCCGGCAATGCTAGATGCATTTGAATAATGCAATGCTAGATGCATCTGAATAATGGTTTTATGTCAAGCCACTTGATAAATGGGATATTAATATATTATTATTATTATTATTATTATTATTATTATTATTATTATTATTATTATTATTATTTGAAACACAACAAGATGAGTCCACAGCAGACACTCTGCTGGCTGTTGTATTGGATCACACGTCGGACACTTCCCAAGTGTCTAGGACTGTGGGATGTATCGGCGAATAATGTGTGCAGATCATTATTATTATTTTGGGATGAACTACCTGTTTAGACCATTCATGATCTACTATGTATGCTGAAGTTTTATTTAATGTTTCTGTTATTCACAAAAGCTGCTTCCAGGCAAGACTTTAATTGTGCCATAGACTCTTATAGGAGGTCCAGACAGTAGTGACTTCTACTGGTAATATTCCCTCTATTTATTCTGTGTGCCCCCCCCCCCCAAAAAAAAAAAACTAATGTGGAAAATATGGAAGAATTGCACAATGCTTTTTTCATTGATAGCTGTAGAAGCTTTTGTTGTTTTTCATCAGATTTTTTCTTTCTCTCTCCCTCAAAGAGACACTATGTGGGTGTGCCTTCAAATTCCCTGACAATTTATGGTGACTCTAGTGTTTACTTAAGCAAAGAATCCTCAGAGGTAGATTTCCTAATTCTTTCTTCTGAAATATACCCTACAGCACCTGGGATTTTTTGATCTCCCCAAAGTACTAATGGGGACTGACCCTACTTAGTTTCCATGATCAGATGGAATATGGTACCTTGCTGTTTATTGCGGTATGTTTTTGTCATGTCTGCATTCATACAGTAGCAAGCACCATCGTGCAATTCTCCAGCTGTGTCAACATGCAGTCAGTACTGGGTTTGACAAGACTAATGAACCGGTGTCTGTAATTTCATTAAATGGTCTTGTTTCATTGCAGATTGATGAAATGAACGTCTATGGAAATACTGCACTTCATATCGCTTGTTATAATGGGCAGGATTCCGTGGCTAATGAGCTAATTGACTATGGCGCTAACGTCAACCAACCTAATAACAGCGGATTCACTCCCCTGCATTTTGCCGCTGCCTCTACCCATGGAGCTCTTTGCCTTGAACTGCTAGTGAATAATGGGGCAGATGTTAACATTCAGGTAGCGCTATCAGTTTTATATTTATTTATTATTTATTTATTTCAAATATTTGTACTTCACCTTTCCCTACCCCCAAAGGGGGACTCAGGGTGACTTATACCACTCAGTTTGATTGCCTGAACATGATTTCTGCTTCTATTTAATATCCCTGCAAACTGCACGTAAATGGAAGCAAGGATAAACACAAGTGTAGGGGCTGTGCTTTGTATTTGAGTATGGGTCTTGGCTGAATTATTCCAAGGAAAGAAAAGTGCCTGAATGAATCACCTTGTTTCTCTTCCTGAAAATCCTTTGGAGTGGATCATGTTACACTACAACTAAGTAGTAATTGATTTAATGGAGCAGACGAGCTAGAGTTTCCATCTGTAGACAGTCAACCAGTCACTATACAATGAGGCAAAATGGTATCAGTTGGCTTGTTTTGATAACTGTCAAATGATGAAAACTAATGTCTACAATATAATGAAGTCAGGATTGAGAAAAGAGGCCAAGTGATGTGTATTGGTCTTTTCAGTCTATGAAGGTGGCCAGCTATTATCCAGAGTAGAGCAAACAGATAGCTTCTTCTTGGTATTGTGATTTATTTATTTATCATGTCAGAAGCGGATTGAGGGCACAGTTATAATGTATTTTACGAAAACACAGACAAGGTTAAAAACTTGGCATTATACTAGATTTCCTTTGACCAGAAACTGGCCACTTGGAGTGCCTCTGGTGTCGCTGTGAGAAGGTCCTCTGTTGTGCATGCAGCTCAGGTTACATTGTAGTAAGTAGTCTGTGGTTTGCTCTTCTCCACTCTCACATGTTGTAGAGATTGTGATAATATAGAACCAGCAAATAGTACCAGGTATTGTGGCATGTCTGACATTTTCTAGGAATGGGCTGGTACCTTCTCCTTGTATTGTGAACAGGATATGCATCAGACATTTTTCTTTGTAGTCATTGCAGCTACAGCCTGCTGTTAACTTACACCTCAGTTCCATTTAACAGGATGGATATGAGATTCATTGGAAAACTACAAAATTTGAGAAGTTGTCAACTGCTGTCAAGTTGACTTCGACTTGTTGTGCCCATATAAATGAGAGATCTCCAAGTCACAGAACATATATTCATCTTTTTTTATTTCTGGCTATTGTTTTGCACCCCTCTTGAAAACATTTTGCAAATTCATATTATTGAGAGGGAAGGAAAGGCTGTTTAAATTTCTTTAGATACACAATTGCTTCTGCCAAAAAATATATCATTCTATCTATAGTAATTATTTTATTATTACAAGTGTGGCCTTGACTTAAACATGAGCTTGACTGAGACGTGAGCAATACGGTTTTGCAGTACATTCTTTGCCCTTTTTAGCTAGTTTGAACAATTGGCTGCTTACAGGCATAACCTTCTCTTTTTTAAAAATCTTGTACTCTGCAATCTTATATAGGGCTAAAGATTTGAAGATTAAAATTATTCCTAATCCTGATACTTTTTCTATTCTTCTATACCTGGGGCCAGAGAGGAACATATGGTGTGTGTGTGAGAGAGAGAGCGCAAAATAGTCTTCTACATATGAGGACTTGAATTTCTTCTCCTACCTTCCCGAATTTTAGGGCAGTGTGATCTTGACACATATGTGTGCTAACTGTAGGGGATTAAGTACAAAAATTAAGCTTCTTCTGGCAGCAGAAGCTCTCTTTTGTTGGCAAACCCCTCATCTGATGCCTGACCTCAGAGATCTGTCGAAGCAGCAGTCATATACCTATTGGAAGGAATGAGGGGGAGAACTGTTAATTTATGAACAACCCGTAAAATTTAGGACAAAGCATCAGCTCTATATACACATCAAATGGCACTATAGACATGATCATTATGTTATTTTGCCTCTTCTGTTTGTGACAGAGTAAAGATGGGAAGAGTCCACTGCATATGACAGCTGTGCATGGGAGATTCACTCGGTCTCAAACCCTCATCCAGAATGGTAAGACGGTTCTTTCTAATACTCTACAATTTTAATGTATTCTCTTTGTCAGAGACTGGAAATTGTAATTGTGAGGGTGGTGTGGATTTGGCTGGATTACAGTCAGCCATGCACTGGACCATATCAGCAGATTTCATTTCCCCCCTTCATGTAAGCCAGGGATCAGCTAATTATATTCCCCCCTACATTCTGTTTTTGTTGCCCTTGGTCCTTCCAGATTGTACTTTTGAAAACAGAGGAAGGAATTTAGAAGCAACTTCGAGACTGTTTTTTCTTTAATATGAGCTGTTGTGGATTTCAGTTCTTCAGATTCACTGATGGAGTAACATATTAAAGTCACAAGTCCTGTATACATGCACAGATAAGTCTTAAGAATAGCAGTAAACAAAATTGACCCTGCATTGGATTATCCATGGGTCAGTGTCAGTATTGTACTTCAACTTTTTCCCATTATACCAGTGTAGTTATAAACCACTTTGCCACGATCCAATTCCGAGCACAATTCAAAGTGCTAGTTTTGACCTATAAAACCCTATACGGCTCCGGTCCAGCGTACCTGTCCGAACGTATCTCTTTCTACGTCCCACCTCGGAGCTTAAGATCTTCTGGGGAGGCCTTACTCTCAGCCCCGCCTGTCTCAAACACTTTTGGCAGGGACGAGGGATAGCGCCTTCTCAGTGGTGGCCCCCTGCCTGTGGAATTCACTCCCTGGGGAAATTAGGTCATCATCATCCCTCCTCACCTTTAGAAAGAACGTAAAAATGTGGATGTGGGACCAGGCCTTCGGGCAATTAGGTGGAAAGGACAATTGACAATATTGAGAATGGCTTGGAAATGGATTATGGATAAGCTTAATGGAGTACTCAATCATAGCATACGGCTAGATAATGGCCACCAGACTGGTAATGATTTGGTAGACAGTAAGTATATTGTTTCACTGTTTTTATGCTTTTAACTATTGTAATTATTGGTGTTTTGTATTTTATTGTGTGGCATCAAATTGTTGCCAGTTGGAAGCTGCCCTGAGTCCTCCCAGGGATTGAGAAGGGCAGAGTAAAAGTATTCGAAATAAATAAATAAATAAATAAATAACTTCCCTTCATTAGACCAGTGTAATTTTAAACACCTTCACCATGATCCCCTCTTAGCACCGTTTTTAAGAGTGAGGGGAAATTATGAAAACCAAGTAGTTTTTCAGTTGTGGGTTTTGGAGCACTATCAAGAAAGCCTTTATGATTTTGTGTATTTTTGCTGTAGCAATTCAGATAATGCACAGTTAATGATTTGCTTTTACACTTATGTTGTGCCTCTAAGATAGTTTGAATTGTGAATGATGGAAAGTTAATTGCATACACTCCTTTCTTGCCAATGCTGGTATTGTAAGTGGTCTGTCTTTGAGAACCCTGGTGGGTCAGAGGATGATAAGCAAATGCCTTAAAATACATGGACAACGAAACAAACCAGATTAATTGCAAATGATGTAAAATTTTTGGCACACTTAATTTTCAGGAGGAGAAATTGACAGTGTTGATAAGGATGGCAACACACCTCTTCATGTGGCTGCAAGATATGGACATGAGCTTTTGATTAACACCCTAATCACCAGTGGAGCTGATGCTACCAAGTAGGTTTCAAAAGAAATATTGTGCATAGGTGCAAATTATATGAATAATGTTATTGTTTTGATGTTTAAATGTTCAGTTGCTTCTGACTCTTTGTGACCTCATGGACCACCCCATGCCAGAGCTCCCTGCCAGTCGTCGTGTATGCATAATAGAAATGAGGACTGTTTAATAGTGTACTTTTTTGTCAGTACGCTATGTAACAAAATTTGAAAAAATTATGTTTCTGGTTTGAAAGTGTTACTTACTGTTTAATTGTGTGGTACTTACTTTGAAAGTAGTTATTATACTCCAGAAACTTTGTTTTTGTGGCTGGCACAAACTAGGTTGAATTGGTTGAGATATTCAATGAGATATTATTCATTGAAAAACTGTAGCAAAATGTGCTGCAGGATGTCACAGTATTAAACTGCAAAAACAAAGTTTTTGCAGTTTAATACACTTTACCCATGTTTTATGATAGAACTAATTAGAAAATGACATTTATAACCCAGGAACAAAAATCATGTTACATCGGATAATTGTCAAGGAATGTGTGAGCAAGTAAGTGTATTACATGAAGCATGGATTCTATGGCTGATATACTTAGTACCTGACTCCCTCTCGGGATATAGGGCAAATTATAAATACAGTTTATTATTATTATTATTATTATTATTATTAGTAGTAGTAGTAGTAGTAATAGTAGTAGTAGTAGTAGTAGTAGTAGTAGTGTATTGTGGAGCCCCCGGTGGCGCTGTAGATTAAACTCTTGTGCCGGCAGGACTGAAGACTGACAGGTCAGAGGTTCGAATCCGGGGAGAGCGTGGATGAGCTCCCTCTGTCAGCTCCAGCTCCCCATGCAGGGACATGAGGGAAGCTTCCCACAAGGATGATAAAACATCAAAAACATCCGGACGTCCCCTGGGCAATGTCCTTGCAGACAGCCAATTCCCTCACACCAGAAGTGACTTGAAGTTTCTCAAGTCGCTCCTGACACACACACAAAAATAAATCATTATATTAGTTTTGGTTAAAGGCACTTAACTCATGTCAATACCAAATAAGTTGGAAGGGACAACTGCTATAAAACAAAAACAAAAAGAACCATCTAAAACCAAAATTATCTGGAAATTTACTTTCAGTTCTTAAAAAGAAGTAATTTTTTTAAAATGTTGATCTGCATAGAGAGGGCTCGCAGATTATTTAAAAAGCAGATTGTTGCACTGAGAGCATTGCTTCACTCACTTTTGGAGTAGGGGGAAGATGTTCAGAGGATTTTGGTGTTGTGGGGGACTACAAAATGTATCTTTGGAAAAACTCATACTATCCCAGACCCCACTTTGCCAACCCCGGTTTGCAGAGTTAATGGTATGACAAAACAATACAAGCTGAAATGTCTTCTCCCCAGTGGGTGAGACTAAAATGTTGTATTTCATTTTTCCCCAATTGTACACAGTACATGTATTTATACCTTAGCTGCAACCTAAGAACTTCCTTCTGTTTTACCTCCTAGAGAAAAATTAGAAATAATGTCTTTAAATACTGGCTATGTATACAATTAGAGCAGTGGTTCTCAACCTGTAGGTCCCCAGATGTTTTGGCCTTCAACTCCCAGAAATCCTAACAGCTGGAAAACTGGCTGGGATTTCTGGGAGTTGTAAGCCAAAACACCTGGGGACCCATAGGTTGAGAACCATTGAATACAACCCATTTGAAAAATTCAACTTTTTTTGCTTGCTTCTCCATAAGTTTCAATCTATTCATTTTCTCAGTTCTTTAGGGAAAGGGAGGAAAAAAAGGTCCAGCAATCTTGAGCTATCCACGCCAAATTTCCATTACACGCTTCAGTGACCTGCACATTGATCAAATAAAACACCTCTGCCAGTGGCTGAAATGCCCAGTGGAGTGAGAAGACCGTAGATATCTATAATAAAAGGAAATTACCTGCCTGTGACCTGGAATGAAAATCCTGAGTTGCCATTTCTCAGGATCATATTTTGATCTTCCAGTAGCAGATTTATTTACTTATTTGTGGTGGAATTGGCAGGAAGTAAAACGAAAAGACCATTAATTGAGAAAAAAATATAGATGTAGAGGGATGATGGAATAAATAGATGAAATCTGGGTCAGCAGTCGGACTCTATATGGCAGAAGAGACAGCACATTGTTCAAGAGGGATCGTTTGAAGGCTATAGATGAGAGATGGGCAACTGTGTAAGATCTGAAGGGCCACATCAGACCTCCAAGAAAACTTGGTGGGCTGTACTTACTCTTATAAAAAAGGTTATTTTTTGCCCCAAACACCATCTATGGGACATGTTTCCTGACCTTTCTGAGTCCTTACATGGCATTTTGGAATATTTCAATGGGGAAAAATTATAAAAACATCCATAGTAATCCATTTTGACTTTTACAGGGTCTTGAGGGGCTCAAAACACCTGGAAATGCCATTTGCACTTTGTAGAGATCATTTTTGCCATTTGGGAGCAAAACAAAATTCTTTTGACTCCTGGAGGGGGCACAAAAATGGCAGTTTCACATTATCCACTCCTGGAGATTGCAATTATATGATACATTATTTGTAAGAGGCAGAAATTGTATAAGTCAGCATACAATTGAGCTAGGTGGACATTTAGAGTTCAGTTTAATTCAGTGGTTTTCAACCTGGGGTCCCCAGATGTTTTTGGCCTACAACTCCCAGAAATCCCAGCCAGTTTACCAGCTGTTAGGATTTCTGGGAGTTGAAAGCCAAAAACATCTAGGGACTCCAGGTTGAGAACCACTGATAAATGGTTTTAGTAGTTTTCATGTTCATGTGTTTTTGTATTAAGGAGATACCCAAGAGGTTGATATGACAATGTTCTTGTTTGAAAGGAAACAAGTAAATGGATAAGTGGATTGTTCACTGCAAGCTGTAGCATATTGTCACTAGCGCAAATATCATTGGAGGCTTGTTACTCTGAAATAAACATAGATTTCTCTGAGATAATAACATACAAAGCACCTGTCTATATTTGAGCTGCTCCTGTATGCATAAAAATTGAGGAGATCCACCCAGTTTGTTTTGTTACCAGTTCTTTTGCTTTCCCCCCCCAGATGTGGCGTCCACCGTATGTTCCCTTTGCACTTGGCAGCACTAAATGCTCATGCTGACTGCTGTAGGAAGTTACTGTCGACAGGTAAGTCAGTCCAGAGAGACTGCAATGGCAAGCTAAGTTGTGAATGAATTGCCAACTGATCCTCCTGATGCTCTGTGTTGTGTGTTTGTGTCCTTAAACGCCAGAAGCCTCCTGTTCTGTTTCATATATGTGACACTGCTGCATGTGTGCTTATTTCCGCAAATACATCTCCACTTGCATGCACATTAAATCCTATCATCTGGAGTGCTTCTGCTTGAAACATACTGAATGCTTTTAAAAAAAATGTTTACCTGTGTCTAGAGGAAATGATGCTTAGATCTTAAATTTCTGCAAGCTGAACATTAATTATAGGTCGCTCCTTCTGGTGGAAAGGGAGGTGGTGGTTTTGCCCTCTGGCTTAGAATTCTGTTTACAGAACCTTCCTGTTCACCAAAGTTGCCCAAGGTCCAATCCTTAAGCAGCATTTCTCTCCCTATTTGTGGTTGTAGTATGGCTTTGCGTTGTTCATGATGGTGCAGCCACACTGATTAAAGATGTCAGAAAGTCCCCAGATTTGTTCTTTCTAATTTCAGTGGAGAATCAGACACATTTTGTTTGTCCCAGAATATTTTCTGCCACTTCCTAATACAACCTGAGATTTTTTATACTAGTTCCCCAGTTTATCTTAGGCCCTTTTCACACTGCCCTCGTATCTCAGGATCTGATCCCAGATTATCTGCTTATCCCAGATTATCTGGAAGTGGAGATTCATATAATCCAATTTAAAGCAGATAATCTGGGATCAGATCCCAGGAAGTGTAGAAGGGGACTTATCCAGTGTAAAGAACAAGAATAACATCTGCCACTTTTCAATTGGTCTGAATGTGCCCTCATTGATGGTGACCTTTAAGGAAATCGATTCAGAGGGAGGTTGGTGTTGTGATCTTCTCAGGCTGAAAGAGTGTGATGTGCCCGGGATCATCCAGTGGATTCTCATGCCTGAGTGGGGATTTGAACCTCTAGAACAGGGGTCCTCAAACTAAGACCCGGGGGCCAGATACGGCCCTCCAAGGTTATTTACCCGGCCCTCACTCAAGCTAAGTCTGAAACGACTTGAAAGCACACAACAATAATTCTATCTCATCAGCCAAAAGCAGGCCCACACTTCCACTGAAATACTGATGTTTATATTGTTAAAATTGTTCTTGATTTTAATTATTGTATTGTTTTTGAGTGTCTTTTTTTGCACTACAAATAAGATATGTGCAGTGTGCATAGGAATTCATTCACGATTTTTTCAAATTATAATCTGGCCCTTAAACAGTTAGAGAACCGTGACCCAGTCCTCTGTTTAAAAAGTTTGAGGACCCCTGCTCTAGAACCTTGAACCTTGGTTTCCCAGAATACTAGTCCAGTGCTGAAACCACTACACCACACTGGCTCTCTTCTTCCCACTTCCTTAAAATTCTGTCTAAGCATCATTCTTCTGTCTGCTTATTTGGGGTGATCTTTTGCTGGCCTCTATTGCATGTACAAAAATATGAACCAGAAATACTGAGAATGCTGGTTTGTTGTTGTTGCGTCCGTATGCCTGATCCGCCCATCATGGCTCCTTCTGCAAATGGAATGGCTATAGGTACCCATAAACATGCCAGCCATAGAAAGCCCAGTGTTTTCCTCACCTACCTTTACCACCTTTTAAAAGAATGGAGTAGTTGTCACTTTTTGTGCCCTCAATTGAGTAAGAAATAATATTTATGTATAAATAATGGAATACCAAACATACTTGAATATGGAGGTCATGGATTCAACCAATTTTCTTGGCCTTGTATATAAGCACTGTTAAATCAAACAAATTGGAGAGAGAAGGACATTGGTTTGGGACTTCATTTGCAGTTTTCATAATCCGCATACATGCAAAAAAAAAAAAAACCAGTTATGGAGCTAGTGGTTAGCTTTTTAAAAATCCCATTAATATTTCAGGCTAAAATGCAACCTGCCTACTATGTTCTTGAGAAAAATCCCTCCATCAGCACAGTTGCCATAAATGTCTGCTCCCCAGAACTCATTCTCTATATAACACTATGTAACATGATTTTTGTTCCTGGTTTATAAATGCCATTTCCTAATTGGTTCTGTCATAAAAACATGGACTATTTTAATTCAACTGCAAAAACTTTGTTTTGGCGGGACACTCTGCAGCACAGTTTGCTCTAGTTTTTCAATGGATATCTGATTGAGTCTCAACCCATTCAGCATAGTTTGTGGCAGCTACAACAACAATGTTTCTGGGGTATAGCCTCTACTTTCAAAGTAAGTACCACACAATTAAATAGGAAATAACACTTTCAAACCAGGAACATTTTTTTCAATTTTTGTTACATAGTGTTATCCTGACCCACGAGGCAACAACCACTCCTCATTTATGGCAGTAAAATGCAATAAGAGCAAATTGAGAATGCCAACCATTTGAATCCCTTCCATGGAACCCAAAATCTTTTGTAAGAAGTGACAGACTCACTCCTCACAGTGGCAGGGATGTCCCTAACATTTGGGCAGAAACATGTCATTTCTATCACAGCTTGAGCTCCTGGCAAGAAATATTCAGCATGTCTAAAAATTCCCCCTGTAAGAAAAGATAGGTTAAAAAAAGAAATAGTTGTGTTGTTGTAGGTTTTTCGGACTATATGGCCATGTTCTAGAAGCGTTCTTTCCTGATGTTTCATCTGCATCTATGGCAAGCATCCTCACAACCTCTGAGGATGCTTGCCATAGATGCAGGTGAAACGTCAGGAGAGAATGCTTCTAGAACTTGGCCATATAGCTCGAAAAACCTACAACAACCCAGTGATTCCAGCCATGAATGCTTGCCATAGATGCAGGTGAAATGTCAGGAGGGAATGCTTCTAGAACATGGCCATATAGCCCGAAAAACCTACAACAACCCAGTGATTCCAGCCATGAATGCTTGCCATAGATGCAGGCAAAATGTCAGGAGAGAATGCTTCTAGAACATGGCCATATAGCCCAAAAAACCTACAACAACTCAGTGATTCCAGCTATGAATGCTTGCCATAGATGCAGGCAAAATTTCAGGAGAGAATGCTTCTAGACCATGGCCATATAGCCCAAAAAACCTACAACAACCCAGTGATTCCAGCCATGAAAGCCTTTGACAATACAGAAATAGTTGTGTTTGTGTCAGGCACCAGCGGAATCAGAGAAGAACATTTCTGAGTTGCTGTGAGTTTTCCAGGCTGTATGGCCATGTTCCAGAAGCATTCTCTCCTGACATTTCACCCACATCTATGGCAGTCATCCTCAGTATTTGTGAGACCTCTCAACCTCTGAGGATGCTTTCCACAGATGCAGGTGAAACATCAGGAGAGAATGCTTCTGGGACATGGCCATACAGCCTGGAAAACTCATAGCAACCCAGTGATTCCAGCCATAAAAGCCTTCGACAACATACAGAAACATTTTCGCTCCTCCGAGGCTGTATTGCCAGTACATTCTTTGGTGTTTTTGAGGAAAGTCTCCCTTCCTCATCCCTGTGCAAAATCCAAAGTTAGTTTCCTGTATGAAGCCATCTCTGGGCCTCCCTTGTTTTCCTCGCAGAGCTTTCTGCCGCATGCCGGTCTGTCATTTTTCCCGATTGCAATCTCCCTCATAAATGCCTGCTGCATGATTTAAATACTTATACAGCACAGGGCTCCAATGTGAAAATAGATCCCTTTTGCCTTCTTTACGGGCCGCCTTTATTTGGCTGCCAAGCTTGAGCAGGCACCGTCCGTCCCCATGGCAACCTCTTTGCTGACTTACCGTTGTGTCTGCGTTCTGGTTTTTCTCTCTTTCTCTATCTCTTTGGTTGTTTTTTTTCTGACTAACTGATTTTTCTGTCTCTGCAATGTTTCTTGCGGTTTAACTAGGACAAAAGTATAGCATAGTGTCCTTGTTTAGTAATGAGCACGTGCTGTCTGCAGGCTTTGAAATAGACACCCCAGATAAATTTGGAAGGACGTGCCTCCACGCTGCGGCTGCGGGCGGGTGAGTAGTTTTGGAATTATAATGGCAGTCTTTACATGTAATTTTAGTGCTGCGGTTTCCCCGCAAGAGAATGTGTTCCAAATAAGGAGTGGCAGAATGACATAAAGGCTTTCTCGACAGGGGCTGCATTCATTCCGGGACACAGAAAACCCATGCAGTGTCTCAGGAAAAATAGTTCGCTCTATCGGACACATTGTGCTTGTTTTCTTGGTCGAGCAATTAAGGCTGTTCAGCTGCTTCATACCATGTTTTCCTCACCCAGCTGAGCCTTCTTCCCTATTTTGGTCATAGCACAAAGGCTAGATCTACACTGCCATATAATCCAGATTATCAAAACAGATAATCTGGATTTTCTATGTCAGTGTTACATTCCAGGACAGGAATAACCCTCTGATTTTAAAACACCACACCTTGAATAGGAAAACAATCCTTTTATTGAAGATAAGTAAAAACAGCAAAATAAAAAAACACTACAAAGGAATAGGTAAATCCAATTAGGTAAAAAGATAAGCAGGAACAAATTAGTCCAAGGTAGAGTTCAGCCATGCCCAAAAACAAAATCCACAACTCTCTATGTTCCTGATGTACCTAGATCTACATTGCCATATAATCCAAATTATCAAAACAGATAATCTGGATTTTCTATGGTAGTGTTGCACTCCAGGACAGGAATAACCCTCTGACTTTAAAACACCACACGTTGAATAGAAAAACAATCCTTTTATTGAAGGTAAATAAAAACAGCAAAGTAAAAAAACACTTTAAAGGAATAGGTAAAATCAATAAGGTAAAAAAGATAAGCAGGAACAAATTAGTCCAAGGTAGAGTTCAGCAATGCCCAAAAACCTCTCCTTTTTTAATAGAAAATGTGTTCATTCCCCTTGAATCAAAAACAGCCAATAAAATAAGACATAACAGTTTATTGTTCCAGAATTTATGCCTATCAATTTATGCCTATTTAAGCACAAGTAGAGTTGGAGCTGGCTCTTAAAGGATTTTGGTGCTGCTCCAACAACAACCAAGAGGCAGGATGAATGAAAGAATGCAATTTTTTTTAAAAAAAACCCCACTAGATTTAGTTAATTTAAAAAATTCCATAACACAGGCGTTCTTCAGCACACAAAAAGATTACTTCCAATTAATAGGAAGTGGTGATGTTTTTGTCTTGCACCCCATTCTTTTATTGCAGTGTTGTTTGTGTGGGAAGAATGTCTTAATGCAGGGGTCCTCAAACTAAGGCCCGAGGGCTGGATACTGCCCTCCAAGGTCATTTGCCCGGCCCTCGCTCAGGGTCAACCTAAGTCTGAAATGACTTGAAAGCACACAACAACAACAATCCTATCTCATCAGCCAAAGCAGGCCCACACTTCCCTTTGAAATACTAATAAGTTTATATTGGTTAAAATTGTTCTTAATTTTAATTATTGTATTGTTTTTAAGTGGGGTTTTTTTTGTACTACAAATAATATACGTGCAGTGTGCATAGGAATTCATTCATGCTTTTTCAAATTATAACCTGACCCTCCAGCAGTTTGAGGGACTGTGACCTGGCCCTCTGTTTGAGGTCCCCTGTTTTAATGCTTATGAAGGGATTGAGTGACATGGGATCCTTGCTTCTGATTAAACAGACAGGATTATGTATGTCCAAAGTAAGAAGAATATGACAAAAGGATGGTTTTTTTAAAGAAATGCTCAGGAGCAACCTTAGTTTCCTGTTTTGCCTGAAAGCAGTTGTACATTGAAACAGATGGCAGTACAATGCTGGTTAGGGCTAGGAAGAAGAAGGGTTAAGGAGCTCCGTCTTCATCTCAAGCCCTAGAAGTTGATGGGCAACCAAGATGGGAGATACATCTTAATGTTTCAAATCCATCCAAAACAATGTCTCTGGAAAATGCAGAGATAGCTCCTCCATTTCTTCAACTCCAGAATGCCCCATTGGAAATCTTTATGCCGGGTACAACCAGGTCTTCCCAGTGGAAGTTCCTTCTACTTGGCAAGCTTTCAAGAAGCACAGTCAGGATATTCTGACAACATAACACTAGGCTAGCATCATCTTTCTGCTTTGGGTCACTTTTCATCAGGCAACACATTCCAATTCTTTAAATGTGTTTTAATATTTCAAATTTATTATTTGTTTTATGAGTTTTGCTTGTAATTTTTCATCTTATTCAGCAACATGTATATTTAAAAAAATCTTTTGCTAGTTCAGTTGTAGAATCCTTATAATCGTCTGGTCTGAATGGACCATGTAATAATAGCTCATTTCCCTTAAAAGGGCATTCTTCTCTCAAAATATCCTTGGAAGATTTGTATCCAGGCTTTTCATAATCATTTTATTTGTGTGAAGCATCCGCAAAAGAGGGTTATGCAACTAACAAGTGTCAATGTGCTTTTGTTTGCTTAAACTTTATACAGGAATAGAAATATTTTGTTTTTTCATAATGATGGCTGTCATGTGTATATTAAGTGGTAGCAAGGCCAGTTCAGTCCATTTCAGTTCAAGTCTGCATAAATGTTGTGCCACAATAAAAATATTTTTCAATTCTGTAGTGCAGAATATTTTGGATAGAGCAAGTGGTAGCAATGGAAATTAAACCTATTTCAGTTGTGAATATCCATTCCATCCTTAACGTGTCTTGAATTCTAAATTACAATATGATGAAATAGTAACACAGTGCATTATGTATTGCTTTCTCACTACTTTTTAGTTTTTTTATTTGGATGAAAAAATGTCTGAAAAGCAAGAACATAGAAAAACAAATTCCCAAAGCCTTTTGGCTCATACAAATTAAGGATAAATTTGTCAACATTACTTCTTACACAGAAAAAGTATAACTGTTAAGTGTGACTTTCTACATGTGACTTGTAACTTGCTAGTTCCATGTTTTGGTCTTTCTGATTAATATTTATTTATTATTTATTTACTTTATTTGTATACTGTCCCTCTCAGCCTTGCGGCGGCTTGGGGTGGTTTACAAGGCAAAATTTAATGCCACAAAAACACAGTACAATTTTAAGAAAACATTAACAGCAATAAAATTAAAAAAGCAGTAAAAACATAAATCAGTAAGTCCTCAATAAAAAACATTGTTCAATTCCATCATATAGTTGTTCCGTTTTCCTATGTCCATTAATCAATATTTGCAAATGCTTGCTCGAATAGCCATATCTTAAGTTTTTTTCGAAATGTTAGGAGTGAAGCCAATGTAATCTTAGGAATACAAAAAAGTTCCAAGTATATCTATATATTGAAGGGTTTTTTTTATAAACATATGATACGTATTTCACATTGTAATTCATTTCCTAAACTATTAGCAGTGAAGCATTTTGTAAGTGTTTTTTATTCACGAGTTTCTTGTCTTTCCCTTGTGTTTTCAGCAATGTTGATTGTGTGAAACTCTTGCAGAGCAGTGGAGCAGATTCTAATAAAAAAGACAAACATGGAAGGTTCGTAACTTTTGAAACATTCGGATGTTGACCAAAACTTTTGACAAGCCAAGATGTTCAACCACATGGTACAGGAATATAAAAGATCAAACAGAGAGAACTCCAACTTTAGCTGCCAAGGGTCCATCTTTGAAACCCATTGAATCAATTCCTGTTTAGAGCATTTCTGCCAAAATCTAGCAAGTTAGAGAAACATCTCACTCTCAGGTCCCATAGCAGCTTAAGGGCCCAGTAGTAGTAAATTTTATTGATTAGCCCTTAGGCCATATCACAATACCAAACGAAACAAAAAGGCTTGATAAGACTTGGCTGTACTTTGCATAATAAGTTAAATAAAACAATTATAACAATACAGTAATTACATTTGGTAAAACTGAATATATACATCATGTTTCCTTATCACCCCTACAAAGCGTAAGGGCCCAGTACGCCCATAGGCATTCACGTAAGGGCCCATAGGCATTCACAGAACTTTGTATCATGATGGTGAGATTTCAGATTATTTTTGAACAGGCTAAAGTGTGATGGCATACCCTGAAGGTACCGGATCCTATCTGATCTTGAAAGCTAAGGAGGGTCAACCCTGGTTAATACTTGGGCCCTTCGACACTGCCATATAAAATCCAGATTATCTGCTTTAAACTGGATTATATAATCGTATAGTCTCATATAATCCAGCTCAAAATCGATAATGTGAATTATCTGCTTGGATAATCTGGATTATATGGCAGTGTAGAAGGGGCCTTGGATTGCAGCTTGCTAATGAATACAAGGTGCTCCTTTCAGAGGAAGGAACTGCGAAAACCACTTCTTAGAAGGTGGTTTTCTCTTGCCTAAGAAAACCTTATGAAATTCATGAGGTCATCATTCACCAACAGGCAACTGGAAGGCACACACACACACACACACACACACACACACACAATGTGAGTACCAAGGTAAAACTCAAAAAACCTACCAACCCTTCCTTGCATCTCTGAGCTGAATAGGAAGTAAGCATTCCCTGTAGAATATTACTGCCTGAAGTGTAGTGCCAAAAAACACAGGTGCAGACTACATTAAATATATTTTTGTTCTTTCTCTTTCCAAAACAGCAACAACACATAGCTTGTCCTCCAAATATGGCTGTCTAGGTCCTTGGCTTTTAGTTTTATTTTGTCCCAAACATACCATCTACTTGCATTTACTTTTCCATTCTAAGTATACTTACAGCCATGCTTTTTCTGGCTTTCTATGTGCTTCTGGATGTCAGATGTGTTTTGCATAAGTCTTAGTGTAGGCAATGGCTAGGCCTCTGTCCTTTTGTTCAATGTTGAATTCAGCTTTGTTAAAATATCTTTATCTTTCATCTGCCTCATCTTCCATCCATTCTTCATCTGCACCTAGCCAATTTCCAGGGATGTTCTAGAGCTCTAGCCTAGGAACTAATCCTTCTCCTATATTCCCTTAATATGTTTTAACATTATTATTTTCACTATCCGTGAATGCATTCAGGATAGATAAGTGCCTTCCTGTTCACTTTTCTTTACTTTCTTTTTGGACTTATTTCCCCCACTCCCCATTTTCCCCTTTAGGTAAGGAGTTTTTATGTCTTCTACTGTGGTTGTTTACATTCCAACAGTCATTTTCCCTGCTCTCCCCTTCCTTCCTTCCTTCCTTCCTTCCTTCCTTCCTTCCTTCCTTCCTTCCTTCCTTCCTTCCTCCCTCCCTCCCTCCCTCCCTCCCTCCCTCCCTCCTTCCCTTCTTCATACTGCCCACATGTCCTTTTGTAATCTTTACTGCTGGAGCAAGAATATATTCTGGATTTGATTAAATAGCTGCTATTGTTACCCTGAAATGGGCTCTCCCTGCAGTAATGTTTCTGTCAGGAATGGTTAATGTAATGGATGCCATTACTCAAGTAATGTCTAAGCTAATGTGGTTCTATTTATTTTTCAGGACACCTTTGCACTATGCAGCTGCAAATTGTCATTTCCAATGTATGGAGACATTGGTGACCACGGGGGCCAATATTAATGAAACAGATGACTGGGGACGGACGGCTTTACACTATGCTGCTGCCTCCGACATGGACAGAAAGTAAACAAGCCCATTTGTATTCCTTCTTTCTACCTGTGTCATTTCTATTCCCTTCATGCAATGGTTTCATTTCAGGGAAAGTACTCCTGGAGCCAAAAGTATTCCTTTTCCCTTCATGTACATATCTCTGCTAGAATTACTTTGAATCTCTGTCTGGCTTTTGCATTTTAAGTAGCACAGTTCCATTCAGTTAGTTGGTATGCCTGGTCGGGACTTTTTGGTCATATCTTCTCTCTGTATGGGTCACCTTTTACATGGCTGCATAACTATCTCAGCAAGATCTGTTTTGGCAATTTATTTAGAGCCTCCTCATGTAGATAGTGTCCCTTGGTATTACATAAATCTACTTGCAACAGGATGGATCTGGATTTGTCTTTAGCCCAATCTTTTGCTTCAAAAAGGGGACAATCTTTACAAATCTCTTCTTCCTGCTTGCACCCTTAAAGCCTTGCTCTGGGTAGCGTGCAGGTGATACTGTGGGTTGTAGGAAAGATTAGGGATTTATGAAAGGCCCCTTCTACACTGCCATATAAAATTTATTTATTAATTTATTTATTTAGAGCATTTGTATCCTGTCCTCAGGAGACTCAGGACGGCTTACAATTGGCAGTCATTAGATGCCGACAAAGAAACAGTTAGAACACAACAATTCACATAAACAAATCAACAGCAATAAAAATACATTTTAAAAAAGCAATAAAATACATTAAAATATTGGCCCTTAAAATATTAACACAACCAAGTCTGAGTCCAGATTTTATGCTTTGAACTGGATTGTATGGCAATGTAGACTCATATAATCCAGTTCAAAGCAGATAATGTGGACGATCTGCCTTAATAATCTGGATTATATATCAGTGTAGAAGGGATCTTAATTAACACTTCGTGTATTGTCTGGTTATTCCACAATGAATTTCAAAAAATATGTGAAGATAACCCAGATGGTGGTTATATGGGTTTCTCTGATATGGAGAGGCAGGAAATATTTTTGGAGGAGAAATTAATTTCATAAGGCCCGTGGGTTGTTTCATACAACAAACAGCAGTAAAGTTGTGTATGGCACCATTTGTAGATACGACAGAGATCTGTAGTTCACTGCAGCTCCCTTGACAGAGGTACTCGCTTAAGACACACACCTTGAATCATCAAAGTGCTGTACTTGTGTACTGTTCCATTTTACAATTATGTGTAAAATGCTTCGTGATAATTACAGAGCAATGAAATGTGTCAGCCGAGCTTTAAAAACTGGAGAAAGGTTATTTCTTTCAAATTGGAGGAAAAGGCCATATACTAATAGGTGAACTTCTGTTCAAATGCCAGCCAGGTAGGATTTGGTTTAAACAACAGGTTTTTCTGTTAAGATTCCAGATTCTGGTTCTTCTTCCATCCTGTCCCAGGTCAGACACAGTTGCAGTTTCTCTTCCTCCTCCTCTTTAATTGCTTGTTTTTTTCTTTGATCTCTGTCCTGCTCCTCTAGGGTTTGTTTGTCTTTTTTTCTGTCAATAAATATTTCTTTACTAAGTCTAGATTGTTGAGATATGACAGTTCTCCCCTTGTCATGCATTATAATATCAATCAGTATGTCTTGCCTGTGGGGCTCTTGAAAGAAAGGTGTGAGAGGAGATGCTTTCTCTTTAGATGGTGAGACACCATGATCCCACCCTATATGGTTCATCCTGAATAGTTTTGTTCAGTCCCATTGATCTAAAGAATGACATATTGCAGGAGTGAAAAATGCCTGCTGCCTACTCAGTGGTTGGCTTCTTCACTAATGGAAGGGTTTTTATCCTATTTGTGGAATGATCCAAGCTTCCCAACTAGAGGGAGAGTTCTGTGGGGCACTGAAGGATGACATACTTAGTTGCCTCTCACCAGTGAGACATAGGTCTCTTCTACATTACCAAAGTAAAGGCAAAGGCTTTCCCCTGACATTAAGCCTAGTCGTGTCCGACTCTGGGGATTGGTGCTCATCTCAATTTCTAAGCCAAAGAGCCGGCGTTGTCCATAGACACCTCCAAGGACATGTTGCCGGCATGACTGCATGGAGCGCCATTACCTTCCCACCGGAGTGGTACCTATTGATCTGCTCACATTTGCATGTTTTCGAACTGTTAGGTTGGCAGAAGCTGGGGCTAACAGTGGGACTCACACCACTCCCCAGATCTGAACATGTGACTTTTCAATTAGCAAGTTCCGCAGCTCAGTGGTTTACCATATAATCCAGTATATCAAATCAGATAATCCATATTATCTGCTGCGAACTGGATTATATGAGTCTACACTGCCATATAATCCAGTTCAAAGCAGATATTCTGGCTTGTATATGGTAGTGTAGAAGGGACCATCATTTGATGAGCAGAACAAGGACCCAGTGGAGTCTTTTGCAGCATGCTGGCAGGAAGGAGCTAAATAAGTAGGATAAGTGGGAAATAAAAATTGAATGAGAGTTTTAGGCCTAAATAATAAACAGAGGAAATATGGTGAATGCATAGGGAAAGAAAGTAAGTTGGGGAGTATACTTTAAAGAAAGACAGAAATAATAGAAAGCGTTGGCAGTAGCAATATATACAACAATGATCAAAAATGACGAATATATTGTAAGAACATTACAAAATAAATGGCAGAAAGAAGGCCTACTTACAAGACAAACAATAGAAGAAAGTTAGGAAAATTAAAATGGAGAAGTATTAAAAAATAGAAAAAAATTATTCGGAAATGGTGTAAAACCCTAGCTCAGTTATCAAATATAGGAATGGGAATAAGCTTGAACATTCTGGCATTGTGGGAATGTCCAAAGACAATAATTTTTGTGAAAACATAGTAAAGAAAACAGAGAAATAGCAATTCAAGTAAATATTGACTTTATGTTAATGGGATTACTTGGGAACAATAAAATTAATGCAAAAACAAGAGATTTATTTAGAGAAATGATTTTAGCAGGCAAGATGATAATATCATGGGGGTGGAAAGATTAAAAAATGGAATATGGAGTATTTGAATAATTATTTGCTTGATCAAGTCTAGAGATGGGAAGGCCTGGAAAAAAAACTGAAAAGAAATGGAGGTAAAAAACCCAGGTTTTTTCTGTTTTTTTCCAATTTTTCTGGGTTTTTGCCAGGCCTTCCCATCTCTAATCAAATGCAATTGGACATTATAGTACGTATAACTCGAGATGCTGTGCAGGTGACAAGTCAGAAGAAATTAAAGAGAAATGGTTGATCTACATGAAATAGATGAAAAGTGGCAAAGCCAACGCAAATATTGTACAAAGATGAAGAAAATTGTGTTCATGGACAAAGATAAAGATATAGAGGAAAATGTGGTCTGGGGTGGGGGGTGTAAAGGGGCAAAATTAGGAAAAGAGTGGAAAGAATAATAACTTTCTAAAGAGGTGAATAGATAATATAGAAATGATCCATTATATAAAATGTGTACATGCAATAGCTTCCTAACATATATTCAAATATTGGGCTGTTATGTACTTAATATAAAAATAGGAAGAGACTGGATGAGTCTACTTTCAAGACTCTGCTCACCAGCACCACAGAATGCCTTTGCTCAGTATAGTTGCCTGACTTTTTAAGGTGGGAATCGGTGGGTTGGATTGAGAAGTCAGAGCATTGCAGAGACATCGTAGCCACATGTCTCGTGTTTCATGTGGGAAATGCTTACCTGTCCGAACGTATCTCTCCTTATGAACCCTCTAGGAATTTAAGATCTTCTGGGGAGGCCCTGCTCTCGGCCCTGCCATCTTCACAGGCTCGATTGGCGGGGACGAGGGATAGGGCCTTCTCTAGATTGACACATCCTTCCCCATTGGTTTTGCATGGATAATCTACAGCCAATTAAGCTGCCATGTGAAATTATTTTATACAGTCAACCTTCAACTTTCATGGATATTAGGGGTGCGGAATTCCCATGAAAACGAAGAAAATGTGAATACAAATAAATGCTATTGGGTTTTTTTTACCTGAGAGTACTCTTCTCCAGGCATTTCAAGATCCCCAGCATGCTTCTGTTGACAACTTCTGCTAGATGTTCAACACAGAATTATGTTGGAGGACCTAGAAATGCATAGAAAGAACATATTTCTTCAGTCACATATAGGACAGCAGTAGAGGTGGCTGTAAAATACAGTCATCTGCAAATAGTCTAATCTGTAAATGCTTAATCCACAAATGTGGTCAAATGATTGTTTTCTCTAATGTGAGGATTTGAATAGTGTAGATGTTGAGACCATTACCTAAGAGCAGGAAAAGTTATGGTCCTTGAAGGAAGCACAATGAAAGGAGTCAACAGAATGAATGAGAAATCACGGTTGTCCTTAAGAAGATCCCTTAATCCCTTGTGCTTGAGTACAGATACTTGACCATAAAAGAGTATAAAATTCATTAATGCAGGATCCATGTGCATATAAATTAAAAGACTTGGGAGGAAGTAATCAGCCTGGTTACCACCCAGATGTACTTGCACAGGGCAATGTTGTATATGCACTTACACATGCATGCTCCCAGCATAACTGGGAGTCAGCTGTATCCAAGTAAAAGAAATGTCGCATGGGATTTTGAAGACTAGATCATAAGTCCAGACATCACTGACAGTCCTCCACACAAAAAATATAGTAGCTCTGGAATGCACCTGTACCAAATGAGATGTAACTGTAACAGTTTCTGTGTTTGCAGCTGTCCCCATTCCCCACCCTTTAGAGCTGCCAGAATAGAGTTGTTGTAACGATGTGCAACGTACATGGTAGGAATGTACTACTGGAGCCACATCCAGCGTAAACTGGGGAGTGCATCTTGGGGCTTTACTTGATAGAGAATACCATAGGTGGAGAAGACCAGTGGTGGAGAAGACCATTGGTAACACTCTGGTGGCAGAGAGGCCCTTTTATACTACATAGTTATAACACTATGATCCATATTTAGCTGATATGGCAACATGCCATGGGAACCTGGGATTGAATATTGAGAGAGGACTCTTTCAGGCTGGATCTACACCCCCATATAATCTAAATTATCAAAGCAGATAAAGCAGATTATCTGATTTCTGTTGGATTATATGAGTCTGTATTGCCATCTAATCTAGTTAAAGGAAGATAGTCTGGATGTTATTTGGCAGTGTAGAAGGGGCTCCTCTGTTGCCTCTGAACAAACAAAGAAGATCCCATCAGTTGAAGTAATGACAGCCAAAGTGGAACCATAGTACTATTAGTGTGAGGAATAGTAATGTATCCATGTCAATTGCCCCAGTAAGCAGTCAACGTTAAGCATGAATAGCACCCATCCAGGTAGGACACCTGTATCAAGAGATTTTTAAAATAAACATCCAAGCAATATATCTGTTGTCCTGGACTCTTTCTTGAGACTAGCTCTGTCCCCACTTTCTTGTAGAATTCTTTTTAATGCTGAGACATATTGGAATGAAAAAACTGCACTCTTAGTTCTTAAAAAAAAAAAAAACCTTTGGAAGAGCCATAGTGTTGGTCCAAGAAATCACTTACAGTTCCCTAAAAGAAAGGAGTGAGTAGATATGGAAACAAACCAACTAGCAAAAACTAAGAAGCTGTAATGCAGGAACTTGCCCTTCTTTACGGCAGTTTGGAAGAGCCGACAGTGTCCAGAAACATCATAGTTTCTTTTGATGTTCGGATGTACACTGAAGATATACCTTGTTGTGACAGTTCTTTCCATTTCTGGATGCTTGATGTGGCTCCTTTCCTCTTTGCAGTTCAAACACTGATTTTTAAACGGTATTTCAGGCAGCAGTGCTAAGTGCAAGTGAAAATCATGGGTGGCAGAGAATCTGTGAAGTGTCCATTTTCAAAATGAGTTGCATTTTTCTGTCCTTTATGTTAAGAAGAAAGAATGTTTTGGGTAACACCCATGGAAATGCTGAAGAACTTGAAAGAGCCAATGAGATGAAGGAAAAAGAAGCCGCATTGTAAGTTTGGTGTCCATATAGCAATTTGGCTCCATCGCTGTACATAATGCTTCCGCTTCTGTGGGTTGCAGTTCTGTGCCTTCCTTGGTTTTGCTCACTCGCTGCACTGTGGCATAAAGCAACTGAGATTATGATGGGCTAACTTCTAGTTTGTTGGGGGTATGTTTGTATGTCTGTGTCTGTTTACTATTTCTGTTTCCATGCTAGCTGCTGCTATAGTATTTTGGTGCATTTTGAATATGATATAATCTTTAAGTCATATACACTGTGGTATTACGATGTAAGGTATGCTTGTCCTTCCCAAATTTGATTATCCATAGCTGGTGTTTCTTCTATTATGATTGTTGTTGTTGTAGCTGTTATTTCTATATCAGCCAACCATAAGGTAGCATATATATGTATGTGTGTATGTGTAGAGAGAGGGGGTGGGGTTAAAAGTAATGACAATGGAAATACCATTGCATCTCTTTCCTCTTGAGATGTTGTAACACGGCGAAATAAATTTGCACAAAGAAATACAGGCTACTAGCAATAATATTTAGGGCTGGGACTGAAATGTCAGTCTAATGCCACTGTTTCAGATACTTTTCCTCTGCTACTTTTTCCATCTCTGAAGCACGTCTCCTTTGGTGCCCATGGGGTTATATAGGAAGCTGTTCTTCTTGTACATTCAATCTACAGGTTTGTTAAATAGATAGATAGATAGATAGATAGATAGATAGATAGATAGATAGATAGATAGGACTGAGAACAGCTAAAATATACAATCTTTACTGTCTTCATTATGCATAAAATTAAAAAATTTAAAAGCTGCTGGCTCTTCTGTAGAAACGGTTTGTAGCTTCTTAAGCAAACAGCGAAAGCATGATTGAATTAATCTAAATGACTCATATTGCAACCACACTATTTCAAATTTTGTTGGCCAGTTTCTATGAAAATCTGCAATAAACATGGTTAACAAATGCCGATATGTAGATGGCACAACATTTTGTTACGTACACAATGAAAAACATAGCCTTTAAAGTAGCATTTTTATCCCAGTAAATATTTATGTGAAGTGTAGTGTAAGAGTTTGAACATTGGACTTACAACTCTGGGAGCGGGATTTGAACCACAGTTTAGCCATAGAAATCCATTGGCTGAATTAGGACAAGTCACATTATCTCAGCCTGAGAAAAAGGCAAAGGCAAACCAGCTCAGAACAAACCTTGCCAAAGAAACACTATACAGGCACTCCCTGCATTACAAACACCTGACTTACAAACAATGTATAGTTAAGAATGGAGGTGAGACAACAGAAAGTGAGATAAATCTACCCTCGGAAGGGAAATTCAACTCATGGGGAAAAGGGGTCTTCACTGAAGCTTTATCTCCAGTCCTTGTTTCCACAACAAGCCAAATTTTAATAATTTGACAGGGAGAAAAAATGAGGCAAAATCTTCTAAACAGGCACAGGCAGCAAACAAACACCACAGGGGTGTTAATCCTTCCTGATACTATCCAAAAGATTGATTGATTGATTGATTGATGACTGTAGTTTCATTTAAAAATGTATCTGTTCCAACTTAAGTACATATCCAACTTTAGAACAAACCTACAGAATCTATCTTGTTTGTAACTTGGAGCCTGCCTCTATAGTTTTAGCTTAGAGTCACCATAAATCGGGAGACTTCAGGGCATGCAACAACACCAAACGTTTATCTTGGCAGTAATCATCATACACATCCAGGTGGCATAATCATTCATTTATCCTTTTCAATAATCCTCAGGTGTCTAGAATTCCTTCTTCAAAATGAAGCTAACCCATCCATCCAGGACAAAGATGGATACAATACAGTGCACTATGCTGCTGCTTATGGACACAGACAGTGTTTGGAACTGGTGAGTGGTTAAAACGTTCCTTCTGGATACAATCTGACGTGGTCATGATGTTGCAGAAGTGTTTCATTATTAGCAGTAGTAGGTTGGTATTGCCTTTCCTACAACAAGGGATGAACTACAAATCAAACAACAAAGATTGCATAAAAACATAGAGAATACAGACATAAAAAGCCCCACATCAGGGCTGCAGTCTTGTATATAGTTAGCCAGGATATAGTCCCAATTTTTTTTGTCGTGTCAGGAGCAACTTGAGAAACTGCAAGTCGCTTCTGGTGTGAGAGAATTGGCCGTCTGCAAGGACGTTGCCCAGGGGATGCCCGGATGTTTTGATGTTTTATCATCCTTGTGGGAGGCTTCTCTCATGTCCCCACATGAGGAGCTGGAGCTGATAGAGGGAGCTCATCCGCACTCTCCCTAGATTTGAACCTGCGACCTGTCGGTCTTCAGTCCTGCCGGCACAGGGCTTTAACCCACTGCGCCATAGCCCCATTGAATTCAGAGGAGATACTTCTGAGTAGACAAGTACACTACAGATTGAGTTGTAAGCTGATATTGAAAGCACTGTGAGCAAATTAGACTTCTACACTGAAAATACGTTTTAAAAACATCTTTTCTGAAGTCACGATGGCAGGGACTGATCCTAACTCTAAATATGTAGTATAATTGTAGTTCTTTGAGTTGTGGCAAAATTTACCTTGTGTAGCAACAGCAAATGCGGAGAAATTTAGTCCACATATTTTCACTTTCATCTGCACCAGAATTAACAGAACAGCTACACATTCAGAAGGCATTCTCATAGTAAATTTCAGCTGAATTGGCATCAGTCAGAAGATACTGAGCCTAAAGTATATGCAGTAATTACGTGTTGGATGGGACATTGTCATTTGTTAATGATCATGGGCAATATTTGCTGCCATCATTTTAGTGTCAAGAGGCAGTCCTCTTTCCTAGAAGGTTCTTGTTGACAACATTCATTTTCTTGAAAATTCATTTGTTTTCCCAGTACCATATAAAACATTTTATATGGTACTTTTTTACCATATAAAATTGTTTCTGGGCTATGCACTCCAGCATTCACTCTTTCTGGAACAGTAACAACAACAACAACATCACTTTATTTATATTCTGCCCTTCTCACCCCGAAGGGGACTCAAGGTGGATCACAAGTACACATAGAAGGCAAACATTCAATGCTGTTTGTATAGACCCATGATGGCGAACCTATGACACGTATGTCAGCACTGACACGTGTAGCCATTTTCGATGACACACAGCCGCATGCGGCCGCATACAGAGAAGATGGGGCCGCATCCCAAGAAGGACATTTCATCCTCGGCTCCTACACCAGCATTTTTCTATAATGCCGAGATATATGGTATTATAGAAAAAGCAGGTAACTTAAATAATTAGTTTTTGGTTTATTAAATACAGTTATATATTACAATAATATATTTTTGTTATTAAACTATAAGTATCATGAAATTATGGGTTTTTCTCGAAGTGACACCCCACTCGAGTTATGCTCGGTTTTTTGGCGAATATTGACACTCCAAACTCAAAAGATTGCCCATCATTGGTATAGACAGTACACAGACAGACAGCACAGAAGGAGGTGTTGTTTCAATGCCATGGACAGTTGGGCTCGAGTCCACAGGGGGTGCTGTCGCTCCATCCTCTATGATGAAGAGCCATCAGGACTTCCTCATTCCAGCGTTTTCTGATCTTCTTTTTCTTTATGGCATTGTAAAACACCTCCCCCCATTTTCAGTATCTAATTTCTCTAATTACAGCTAAAGCTGTTTTCGAACTGCTTAGGTAAACAGTGAGCAGGGCTGATGGTCAGTCACTCATGCCGACCCGAGGTTTTGAACTTGCAGCCTTTCAGTTGATAAATCTTATAGTTACTGATGATTTACCAGCTGTGCTAAACCTTCAGCCCTTCAGTTATCGGTTTTCCTTCAAGCACTAACACTAATGTATACACTGAAGTCCCCCATAACAATCCTTGAAGAGTATAGTGCTGTGATATGAACATTAATTTTCATTAAGAAAAAATAGACTCAGTGACACATATTTTTACAGAAATGAGAAAACCTCAAAATTTGTTGTTCCTCAGTAGGGAAGGAAGCAACAATACTCAAAATTATCACATCCCTTGTTATATTTTCACAAGTCTCCCTTTGTTATTACTGCACTTCATTTTAATAAGTACATTGACAAGACTTTGTTTGCCAAATATCATGTAGTCTGAGAAATAAATAAGGCAGTTGCAACACCTTAAATAACATGTCACAAAAGAAAAAGGAGTGACACATGCTTGAGTCACACACCTCTCTACCTATAGTTAAAGTAAAGGTAAATGTTTCCCCTTGACATTAAGTCTATTTGTGTCCAACTCTGGGCAGTGGTGCTCATCTCAATTTCTAAGCCAAAGAGCCGGTGTTGTCCGTAGACACCTCCTAGTCATGTGGCCAGCTTCTTGCGGAAGCAGTACCTATTGATCTACTCACATTTGCATGTTTTCAAACTGCTAGGTTGGCAGAAGATGGACCTAACATTTTCCTTCCATTTAGATACAAAATTCTATAACTTCTTTCTTTTATTTTAGCTTCTGGAAAAAACCAGCAATGTTTTTGAAGAATCAGATTCATCAGCTACCAAAAGCCCTTTGCACTTAGCCGTAAGTACACGGATTTAGTTCAGCTATCTAACTCAAATATGCATATTTGAGTTGTCTCTGGTAAAATCATTTTAAAATGTATTTAACTCAATTTTTTCTCTCTTATGAGCCAGCTTAGCGATGTCAGGGTCTAAGTGAAGATATAAATCCTAGACTCTCCAGCTGTTAATCCTGCTCTCTGTTAAGTACATCTTTCGGGGTTCTTCTTAACTTCCATTCAACTCAGGTGAAATGTAGGGCCCCTTAAAAAGAAGTTTTAGAACTTGGTGTGATGAAAGCAGAGATCTGTGGGCCCTTCCACACAACCATATAACTCAGAATATCAAGGCAGACAACTCACAGTATCTGCCTTTAACGGGGTTATTTGAGTCCACACTACCATATATCCCAGTTCAAAGCAGATAATGTAGGGTTTTATTCTGCTGTGTGGAAGGGGGCCATAGGACCTTCCACACAGCCATATAACTCAGAATATCAAGGCAGACAACTCACAATATCTGCTTTGAACTGGGTTATTTGAGTCCACACTGCTATATTACCAATTCAAAGTGGATAATGTGAGATTTTATACATCTCTGTGGCAGGGGCCTGTGTTTCAGTGTGATTGATTGAAATTCCAAGATGGGATTTCAAGGCAGCTTACAATAATTTAAAAAGACTGAAGAAAATGTTAGTTTACAAGAGTTTAAAAAGAATTAAGCAACAATGTTATTTTTAAAGAAATGCTTAATTTTTTAAAACATGTAAAATTTATTTTAAAAAATAATGTCCACAAAAATGCAGCACAACACCTTACACAAAACAATTGCTCCTTAATTAAAATTAAAAGGTCTGGCTGAATAAAAAGAAAAGTGGACCTCTTGTGGAAGTGAGTTCTTCATCCTGGCATCAACCACAGAGAAGGCTCTCTCTTGAGCCCTCACAAAAATGCGTCTGCAAAGATGGTGGGATTGAACGAAAACCATCCCTTGTAGATCTTAAATCTTGGATTTGTTTGTATATAGAGGTATGGTCTTTCATGTTAATGAGAGAAGAAACTGTTACTTATCTCAATATACAGTGAAACCTCGACTTAAGAGCAACCTAACTTGCGAGTTTTTGAGATACAAACCATGGATCAGTTCTTTTTTGCTCTGAATTACGAGCAAGCTTTGAGTTACGAGCTAGCCATGGGAGGGCCGGGGCAGCAGCAGTAGCACTGCTGCCACATCCTTCACCCACAAACAACATGGGGACTGAACGAGGACTTCTCAAGAGGCAGGGCCAGCACTTCTTCTCCCCTTAACCTCACCAGTATGAGGAGGCCTTTGTGTGAGCTCTATGAGCATGCACACATGCATCACCCCGCTTTTCCCTTTTCAGGGAAGGGATGGAGAAAATAAAAGGCTGATGGCATGGCCATTGAGGGCAGAGCTGAAGAGTAAGAATGGAGGAAGAGAGGCAAGCTGGGAGGTAATGGCTTATTGAGGCGGGAGCAAGAGAGAGGTCAACCCTCCTGTTTAAGGAGCTCCATTGGCTGCCGTTT